CTCAGTTGGAGCCTGGAGACATGAGAGACAAGACGATCTACGTGCCGTGCGTCGGGATGCGCTCGCTCAAAGGGGTTTTGTTGTTGAAGGTGCTCTGCATGTCCAACGGTCTTTCCTCCTCGTCTATGACACGTACAGTACAATGAATACGCAAGAAAAGGGAAATAATTCGATTCTAGTATTTGCTCAGTATTAAAATCTACTGCCTTTGCTGTTACTTGCATTCTCTGGTATCCTGGAGGCAACTACGCTGCAGCTGCGCTGCGGGAACTACAAAGCGATCTTCTCCTAGAACTTGGCGTAAGGAGCCAAAGTAGATCGAGGTGAGAGAGGGAGAGGGTTTCCCGTAGCTCTGTCGCTAGGTCCACAGACGAGAGCCAACTCGAGATGCCATACCAGTTTCAACGATAACGTCCTGCTTTTGTATATATATATGAGACAACCCAGAACCAATTGATACTAATGCGCCATTTAGAGTTATCGAGATAATCGCGTTCAAAGTTGGGCCATCGATTTTCGTACTTATATGAAGTTTTGAGCAAACGGCCGATTTGTAATTTGAAAACCCGAATGGTCACCAAAGCGAGCTCACTCACCAACTACACCGTCTTGAAGATACTTGTGTCCAGCCAACGATGATTCATCAACTTTCGCCTCCGCCGTCGCTCCCGTTACAGTCGCCCACTCCTGACCTACCATCTGCTAGTGCACCTCCATCCAGCGCAGAATTGTCTGGTGTTGTGCCTGTGTCTCAGGCTTCCGGTGCTTTGCAGGAAGCAATTCTTTTGCTGGCGCAAGATACCACCTATCCAGTTGATGAAGCTCCCACCCAAGTCAACGCAACGAACGATGTAAGTTAAGAGGAAGGAAGCGAGGAACCCGACGACAGCAACGACGAAGATTGGAGCGACGCGGATGATGCTTCCGTTGAAGATGAAGTGCTGACAGGAGAGAGTGAAGAAGAAACGGACAAACCCGAGGACATTAGTATCAATTTGATCGACGATGACGTCCGTCAACACGTGACGGATCTCATACGCGACGATGCGTGTGAGCGGCACTGTCTCGAAGGCAAGGCTGGTGAACTGGAGCATCTAGTGCGCCCGCTGGAGCAAATGTCGAGGACGGAGAAGACGACTTGTATTCTGACACTGATTGGCGTGCTGATGCAGACAGATACGGCGGGGAGGCGTCGCGGTACCGGCGAACGAGAAAAGTTTCACTACTACCTACCATTTGTTGACCATGTCTGTCGCCCTTCATTTGCAAGGTGCCTGGGGGTGCAGCCCCTCACCGTGCAGCGATACAAGCGGCGTGTTCGCGATGGATTCATCGCTGCAGCTGCGCATGGCAATAAGGCAAACAAAAACGCTTTAAAGGTGAACTTAGTGTGGCTGGTCAAGTGGTTCAAAGCTCTTGCCGCAGAGGTGGGTGAAGTGGTGCAAGTTAGAGTGCGAATGCAGAAGACGCAAGATTGAATGGTAAAGAAGTACTACAGTCGCGAAGACTACACGCTCTTGCCTGCTACTTTTACCTGGGATGCTCTTTACGAAGAGATGCACAAGTTTGTGGAGCTAGGTCTTCGGGTGTATGAACCAGCACGCTCGACGTCTCGCAAGTTACTCTCGATCCACTGTCCGACCATCCGGATCCGTTCCTCCCAGTCCAATGTGTGCGATATGTGCACAATTTACCAGACCCGCATGCGTCAGGGGGCTACCGCTGACAAAACGGAAGAGCTTGATCAACACACGCAGTCACCACGTCGAATGTGGTTCGTGGAGAGAAGTATCATTTTAATTTGTTGGGTATACCTAACCAGGACATTGGTATCATTTTAATTTGCAGACGTGAATACAAGAAAGATAAAGCAGCCTCGCAGGAACCCAACTCTGATCTGGCGGTGATAGTCACTGACTTTTCACAGAACCTCACAATTCCCTCGGTCACGACAACGCCCTCGCAGTGGTATTTCTGCTCTCTGCTAGCAGTGAACCTCTTTGGTATTTTCTACGAGAACGACGGAACCCAGACAAACTACGTGTATGATGAGTTCGCGAGTGGTAAAGGAAGCGACCAGATAAACTCTATGCTTCAGCACTTTATCCGCACTGTCTTGATCCCTGCAGGCAAGAAGCATCTTGTGGTTTACGCCGACAATTGTTCTGGACAGAACAAAAACAACCACGTCATCCGGTTCTTTCTGGCCCAGGTCCAATATGGGGCGTTTGAGAGAGTCGACTATAAGTTTTTTGTGAAGGGCCACACAAAAAAACTCGTGCGACCGAGGTTTCGGGCATATTCGCAAGCACATAAGCCGCGCAGACTGCTGGACCATGGACCACATTATCAGCGCAGTCAACGACGCAGCCGCATCTAACAGGACCGTTCATATCTCTCGTGGGAGCGAATTTTTAAGAGCTACAAGCCTGTAGTCGAAGAACTCTACAAGAAGCTGGTGGGTGTACAACAGTACCAGGTGTTCACCATGACACAAGAGAAACCGGGTGTCGTGCAGTGCAAGAAGGGGCCTGATGATGAGTCCATCGATAAGGACCTTCGCCGCAAAGTGGATGGCGTCCTCACGGATGTGGTCAAGGCCATCCGTATGCTCGACCATTTCCTTGACGACCTGCCACCTCTAGCTGAAAAGGCCGAAAAAATAGCAGAACTGCATAAAAATATCCGGCCATACGTTCCGGATGAGTTCCAAGCGAATTCGATATACGCCGCCCCTAGCAAAGAACAAGGTGAAGATGCTAAAGCAGCACAACAGGCTCGACGAGAGCACCGAGCAGCCATGGCCGTCGCGGCAAAAGCCAACCAAGTCCGATGTGGAAGAGATGGCGAAGATGAAGGCCATCCAGTGCCGAAAAAGTCTCGCAAGTGAAACAGAAAGCTGTCAGACCTATGATGATACTTATCTCCATAGGATACATATTGATACTAATGGGCCAATAGTCACTATAGTGAATTTGTGCAAGAAACATAAATTTTGAAGTGGTTCTGTGTCGAATTAGACAAAACGGACAACGCCATCGGTTCCGCAGTGAAATTTTACATCTAAGTAACCAATATTTTTTTTTACATTTTCCCTTTGGAGCTGGAGATAATTTTTTGGTGAAGCTATAACTTGGTCGGTTGTCGGTTCTGGAAGGCGTACGGGGGCTCTAAAGAAAGAGGGAGACGCTCATCTTTACAACTGTGTGCTTAAAATCGCGATTCGTACTTAGGTTCGTTAGTATTTTTTTGTTTGACGCTGTCTCATATATGTCCCAAATACCGCCTAAAAGTGAGCACTCATTATCTCTAACCACTAAATTGCAATTGAAGTCTTTACTTTGACTAAATACGCCGAATGGCTTACACCAGCAATTGCAAAAAATGCTTGTATTGCTGACTGCAGCCCTACTGGGCGGATCCATCCAGAGACACGAGTACAGCAAACGCGAAAATCTATTTATCGCAAGGGCTGTAGTAACTCTTTAAAAAAAGGAGAGATCATGCTATGATAAATTACTTACTGCTTCGAAGTGCTATCCTACAAGTAGTTTTCCACAGAAAACTGTGGTCATGACCTTGTGATGGGCAAGTTGCTAGCTTATACTCACGCCGCGTATTTACTCATAGATCACAGAATATCTATCCCTCTTACGTGGATTTGTGTTGGACCGGAACGGGATACTTTGATCGGTGGCGGTCCAGACGCTGCTCTGTTCTTTGGAGCTCGGGTGTCTTCCCAACCAGACAGGTAGCGCTTAGCTCTTCACTTTTTGAGGCATTGTGAATGCCGGCGATTTCAATGCGTCTCGCCCACGTCTCCGATGTGTGCCCACTCTCCAACATCGAGATATGACTACCGGTATGGTACAGTTTCTTCTCGTGGGTTTCGCTCTCCAGCATGGCACTCCACGTCTTCTTGAGCATCTGCATCTCCTCGTCATCCGAGTCTTCATCATAAATCTCGGCACGCTCTTCTTGACGACCAAACTCGCAGTAGAATCGCCGTGTAAAGTCGAAGTTGTTGAAGCGCTGAGCGTCGTCACTATCTTCTTCGTCACTGAGGTCGTACCTGCTAGTACAGGACTGGTATCTGTCGTCTGTCTGGGTCATAGTGAACGCCGGACTAGGCACCAGTGGGTAGTGGTGGAAACCTGGAGTAAGTGACACTGCCGCTGATGTTCTTCTAGCTGCACTGGGAGACTCAGCTACGAATCTCTCGCTTCTGTCAAGACTACAGGATGGACCCACACGCGTGACCTGTCGATGAGCTCCACAGTCTAGAAAAGTCTCAATATGAGTCATCATACTGAAGCAAATAGCGATCAATTGACGCTGTCGAACCACCTCCACAACTTCCAGTGCCTGTTGTAAGAAGCGATTCAGTGCCATAGATCGCGCTTCAATCACACGTTTCGATCTTGACCCGAACAGCTTACGGGGCGGAAACTGCTTGAAAACAAACGCAAAGCGATCGGACGGAGGTGGAGACGAATAATAAAGACGAAGAGAGTTGATACTGGCTGTGCTGGCGCTGGAGCTGATGGTGGAGCTGCTGGTGTTGAAGCTGCGCTCGGAGCTGTCCATGTCTGAGCTGGTGAGGTACGCAGCCATCTGATCGTCGATTAACGACAAGAGCTTCTCGCGCAACTCGCAGAACTCCGAAAAGCATCGACGGATGTGCCAACTCTGTCTGGTTTTAGTGTTTTCAACTCGCAAGATGTACACGGTGGACGGCTTGAGCGCCAACGCCGACGTAATGGAAGCTGATAATGAATGTGTTGCGGTGTTCATAGCGATCTGTGTGAGTGAAGGCGAGAGGGAAAATGTGGACGGATAGCTGGCGACTGGTAGCACTTCGTTGACAGGAGGTTACGTTGGAGATGGCTTGATCGCCTTTTCGACAGCTACTAGATTTTTAAACCGACGTGCTGTTGGCGCACGATTGTCTACCGGCTTTGCGTTTGATGGAGGAATGGAAAATGGTGACTGCGAGTTGAATGTCCGCCATTCGGGTGGGCTCACGTGAGCACCTCACGGGTCAGATGTTGACTGGACCGCAGTTGGTAGAAGGAACTAGGTAAAGCACAAACAGCTCTAGAAGCTATCTCATTTTTCCAGCAACAATCAGGTTAACGGCTCGACGGCTCCAATTGAGATTTTCAACGACTAAGCAGTCAGCTAACCTGACTGTGTGGATAAGCTTCGCCAGTTCACAAGCTGTAAGTACCACCCAGATACACCAATCCAGACTTCTGGTAGTTCTTGCTCGAAAAGGCGCATTAGTCTACAGGCTGGAACGTTCTAACGGCGCTTTCGCGAGTCGTTCACGCAAGTCCAGTGTAACGGCGGAAGTTGCAAATATTGCCCAGCTAAACGCTGACCAGTGAACCAGTGGCTAGCGCTGTTGTTCATGCGTATTCTCAATGTATTGACGTCGTTTTGACGCTAAAGCAGGTCATTAAACTCGCTAAGTATCAAACATTTTTAGCTTGTCACTAGTACCTTTGACTGCTGCGATCCAAGCAGAAGGGCGAGCTTCAACTTCAAGACTAGGTAATGGATCTCTCGTGTTTGCGATCGTGTCACGCTTCTCGTAGAGGGAGCTATTGTTCCTTGGTACGAAAAAGAACGCTCTGGCTACGATGGTCGTCTCTAGTTTTGTTTCGATCATCACCTTCATCATTTGACTATGTTCGCTTTGGTTGGTAGAGGGTGAACCTGCTTCCTTCTATCAATCCACACGATTGGATAAGGGCTTCCACTCTGCGTTCAATCGTCTGATGTAGCTTTAGCATTTTGGGTAGCGATCTGACCACCGACTAAGCTAAGTTCGATGGAACTTCCAATTGGAAGGCTATGCTGTCTCTTTCACCTGTCGAGTGAGCTTACAAATGTTACAGGATGAGAGGGGCGTTCTTCGTCGACGATAGCAGGGTGACGGGCGGAATTAATTGTCTGGTGCAAACACAAGCTTCATCTACTTACGCATTACATTCTGCTAGCAGCCTGGCCATAATCTTCAGACTGCCTGTCTGTTCATTTGCCGTCAAAGTGCTCTCACTAGACATGGACAATTCAGCACTAAACTTGAACGACGTCTTGATCTCGTTGAAATGTGCTCAGTTTGCATTCCACAACCACGTTTACTACGATATACGGCGGGTAAATTGTGTCAAGCAAGTTGTTTCTTAGGGACTACACACCTTCACCAGCACGCCAGCGGTCCAAGAAAGTTTCACTGGGATTTCAGCAACCGTAAACTATGAACCGAAATACTCTTCATAATCAACGTGACCTCATACAGTACAGATAAACAGTTCCAACACCCCGAAAGTATAAACGTACTGTACAATTGTCCGTATCATAATCGACGTGGCCGCATAAACTACCATGGGTAAGAAAGCATAAGGGGTACAGTCGTTGTGGCTCTCTGCATGTATGTATGAAAGCTTCGGAAATAGGATATTTCTTTTAGAAAACGCTATCTTGCAGTCCATAATTTCAAGCCACACAATACGCAAAATGGCTACAAATCGACTGAAACCTGTCCGGAAACTTACAAAAAGAGGTTTACTGTAACTAATATACTTCGTAACCTTTTTGATTAGGAAGTTAGTACGGAATCATTGGTAATTTTCTTGTTATTTTACCATTTTATTAATATCGAAAAATTCTCCGAGTTCTGCTTATGACCTTGTTCTACGCTAGATATGAAAAACGATTGCCACTTACATTATCGTGCTTCGAAACAGTAAATTATCGATATACTTTTTTATATTTTAAACGTGGATAGAGGAAGCAACATCTACAATTTCCACCAACGTTTGTGATGAAAACGAATTTTGTAGCGTTATATTTGGAGGTACTCTAGTAATTCCGATTTGATGTGCAGATTCTTTTTGTGGTACCGTATTCCTTATGTGCTTGCCGACGGAATCGTTTTACTGACAGTAGCGAGTGGCCAATCAGAGCACAGCCTTGTTCGTACTGTCGCAGTTTATGACAAATCCAAATTTCTCATTATCACTCTCACAACGGCAGCAACCGGCCGCAACAGAATAGAGCCCTAATAAACACCAAACGCTCGGGAAAAAGTAGCATACACCTATATTCGATATAAGGAAGTACTGGAGCCTTAAAATATGTCTAGATATTGCTTAAGTGACCCACAGACTGATTGTAAAGTACTTAATGCAAATTTTCCATCGTAACTTGATATTTAGTGAAGATCACTTTTGATGATTTGAAGGATGGGCGATACAAATCATGTAGAATCTGCATTGCAGATGTATGTCGGCAAGCACATATGGAATACGGTACTTCTGAAGAACACCTCGCTAATGCATAATATGATAGTTTTAATTAAAATGACGTGTTTTGATACTAATCAACAAGCCATGCTACAGTATTAACAGCAAAATATGTATTAATACCCACCCGAGTAATCTGTCATCCCGTGGGCGCAGCTAATATGAATCCAAATGTCAAAAGCATGTAGCTATTCACTTCGACCTGAGTCAGGGTCAGGGCTGGTAAGAACCTGTATTTTTTTCGAAGTCAATCAGGTTCATGGTTTTTCTCTGGTTTTAGGCCAATAAAACCTGGTTTTTTATGCCTCATTACTACTCCAATATCCCGATGCTGTTGTCGCTTTCCAGCTTGTAGTTGCGGTTCGCCTTGATGTAGCTTATCAACATTTGCTGCGCTCAGTGCATTTCTGAACTTGCTGTGGATAAAGCTTCGCGACGAAAAGGTGCGCTCCGATTGTACTAAGCTGAAAGCCTTCATTGTTAAGCTGCAGAGTGTTTGCCCAGTGCACACTCGTCGTCACTCAAAAGTCATTAAACCTTATCGAAGAGCTCTGTGTACCGTCGATCGTAATTTTCTTTTTTGTATAACGATAAACCCGTCGTGCCTACCCTGGTCAAGGAGATTTGAGGACACCAGCTCTGAGCCCTGTAGCATCCAAAAACAAGCCGTTCGAAAAAAACGCACGCAAACATTGTAAACCGAGCACTGCTGTTTTCCGATCTTTCATACGAGAGCTTACCGCATGGACAGGCATGACAACCAAAACTCGTGGTTACATTGATGTCGGGACGCTGCTTCGCACGCGGGTGGGTTTTGCTACACAAATCGCTGTAGTCCTGCAGCCTGCATGGCTCCCCCTGCAGTGCAGGGGGATTAACGGTAAACTGGGAATCTGCCGCAGCAATCGGGCGGATTGGAATAGGAGCAATGCTATGCAATTCATCGCATCGTTGCTTGACAAGCCTCTACACCTGTGCGTGAACCGATTAAAACCTTGACTAAAGAATGGAACAGCAGTCCAGCAGTCATGTGCTCGGGATCACGGTGATCGATATCTCGCGATTGGGTTTTGGCTTTGAAATAGCCGTAATCTCGAGTAGAAGTAGACATAGCATAATGTTTTGAAGATAAAACACTAAGCATGACTTGATGACAATAAAACTGATGCTAGCATCCAGCTATCCTAGGACTTGTCCTTTTGCTACCGGCTATCCTACGTAGATCGCCTGACTTGATTTTGCCCACCCAGTCGTTTTGGCTGCTGTCGACCATGATCAAGAGTGTGAGCCGTGGGGAAGTGCATTCGTCATTTCAGAATCTGCCACGCTTTGGTCAAGTCTCCGGTTTCCTCACTCGTAGACCATGGTGTTTCTATCTCGCGCTGTCGTGCTTTTCACGGCGGCAATTGCGGCTTCTGGTGCATTGGCGCAGTCTGATACGACTCAGACTCAACAAACGGACTCGGTCTCGCAGTTGGAAGCATTCGAGAACTGTATGGACAACTCTGCCCCCACCAATGGGAACAACACCGTGACGGTCAACTCCAATTTCTTCGTACAAGAGTCTCCACTCTACGTGGACTACGCTACTGGTCCTAAGGCTCGTATCGATCGCAAACCTCTCGGAGTTTATTTCGCAACCTCCGAAGATGATGTCGTCCGTGCCGTCACCTGTTCAGTGAGCAATGGTCTAGCTCCCGTTCCTCGTAGTGGTGGTCATTCGTACGAGGTGTTGTCGTCCATGGACGGATCGCTGGTTATCGACATGGCCGACATGGTGGACGTGAATCTCGTGTCTGAAAACCAGGACGAAGGATCGGCTCTGGCTACCGTGCAGGCTGGTGCTCGTCTGGCTTGGATCTACACGGAACTCGACCGTCTGGGGGGCTACAACTTCAACGCCGGCACCTGTCCGAGCGTCGGTATCGGTGGCCACATTTCCGGCGGTGGCTACGGCATGGTGAGCCGTCACTATGGTTTGGCCGCTGATCAAACCACCGAAATGCGCGTTGTGCTGTACAACGGCAGCGTAGTGACTGCGTCGCCCACGGAGAACACAGACCTGTTCTGGGCTCTGCGCGGCGGCGGTGCCGGTTCTTTCGGCATTGTCACGCTCTTCACTATCAAGGCCTACAAGATGCCGGAGGTCTCGGTCTTCAACGTGCAATTCAACGCCTCGGTGCGTGCTCAAGTGCTGCGTTCGTGGATGGATTACTTCCCGACCGCCGACTCAAAGATCACCACGCAACTTGTGGTTGATGGCGGAGGTGCACGCATGGTTGGCCAGTACCTCGGCCCCAAGATGGAGTTGGACGCGTTGCTCAACGCCTCGGGTTTGTTCGACCACGGCGGTTTGAAGTCGCAGGAACGCCGTGACAATTGCTCGCAGCTTGCGACCAAAGCGTACGTCTGGAAGAGCACGTGCGACGACCTGAGTTCGCTCAATGTCTCGCACCACCTGACGTCGGCTGATAAGGACTACAGCAAGATCAAGGGCGGCTATTCCAATTTCGTGCTGGACGATGAGGGCGTACAGACCGTGCTGGAGTGGGCCGACAGCCTACCCAACACTACGTGGGCCTACATTCAGTTCGAGGCGTACGGTGGTGTCTTCGCTACGCAGAAGAATGACATGACGCCGTGGGCACACCGCGATGCCGTCTGGTCCGTTCAGATTGGTGTTGGTGCTAACAAGGGCGAGTCCGAGGACTCTCCGTCCTACCAGTGGATCCGTGGTATTGCCAGCGCATTGGAAAAGTACTTTGACGGTGGAAACTACCAGAACTACTGCGATCTGGACCTGGGCGAAGATTTTGGCAAGCGATACTGGGGAGCTGACAACTTCGCTCGCTTGCGCCAGATCAAGGCGCAGTACGACCCACTGAACGTCTTTCACAGTGCTCAGTCCATCCCTCTACCTGCGAGCAACTAGAAATTCTAATGCAACGCACCTGTAGCGAATATGAGTAAACTGAGCAAGATAAAACTGAGCAAGATAACGACTTCAAGTACATGTTGCCTTTTTGATTACTTAACACTCACTTCAAACTTTACGAAGTAACAAAATTCTGGAAACAAGTCAAAATTCGAATGTAGGTTCCATCCTACAAAGTGAAGTGTAGATTTTATTTACCTACATCGGTTCATCCCACTCTTTCAAAACTCGATCTAACGACACCGACACTACGTAACTCACGCGATGGAGTCCGCGGAGCCTTCCACTACTGACGTGTCTATGGCAGCCTCAGAGCCCCCGACAGCCTCCGAACCTACTAGCGAAGACGTGTGGCAGCTTAAGCGTGATAGCTACGCAGCTCTACGTGCCTTCGAGTCGCAGCGTAGCGCGCAGATCGACAAGTTCCAGACTCGGGATCGTGCCTATTGGCGCCAGTTTCAGGAAGAAATTCGCCACGGGGGCGACGAGAACACACGGCTGCTAAAGTTCTTGACACTGCGACTACAGGCCGATCTGGCGTATGCAGAGGCATTAAGACAGACGCGTGCGGCGCTGGAAACACCGGCGAGTCACGGAACTGAAGCCAATGGAGCGGCTGGGAGCGACCAGCTGAACGTACAGTCGTCAGTGTCCAAGGCATTGCATGCGGTTGGGGAGGTACAGACGCAATTGGCTGAAAAATTGGTGCAGTTGACGACAGTCGTGAAGAGAGAGGTAACAACCAAGCCGCTGGAAGAGATGGCAGCGACATACAAAGAGAGAGTGACGAGTATGCTCGCGGAGGGAGATAAACTGGATGCTATGCTGTTTCAATCACAGAAGAACGTATTGACGGCATTTGGGAAATATGAGGAATTGTTTAAACAAATGGAGAGCGAGAAGGAGGGCGCGGACACAAGACGACAGGATCTGTGGCTGGCCGAGATGAGCTACTGTATTAATGTACAGAAACTACAGCAGTGTCGAGTGGAGTATGTGACGGGGATGTCTGCGCTTTTTCAACAGTACAAGACAATGGAAGTTTGGAGAGCATCCGTGATTCAGACAGCACTGGACACGTATATTCGCAAGCAGAAACTTACGTATGGCGAGATGGCTGGAGCGATGACGGAGCCTTTAGCTGCTGCACAGGTACAGTATAATCCTGAGTACTTTTTGTTATCCTGTGCCTAACTGTATTCCGTGAATGCAGCGTATTGACCCAGATCGAGATCTCGTGCAAAGCGTGCGAAGGATACCCAAGAATGTACGTCTGCCACATATAATACAGTCGTGGAACAGTGCTAACCGCGATGTTTACCATGAAGTATACTGCAGCTGCGCTTTCTGCATCGGATGACAAGGACGCGCACCTCTTCTCAACGTTACGGTCCCCCATTGCGAGTCCACTATTAGTGCGCTGTGGGTTTTTAAAGAACCAAGTAAGTGGGTCGCTGTTCTCGTCGTGGAAGGACGTATTGTGTGCCATCACACAAGACGGTTGCTTGCATCTGCTTGACTTGAAGGAGAACACGACACGCTCTATATTAGAGTCGACCGAGGCGATGCTAGGCGCTATTGCCACAAACGAGCAGACAACAGATGTGAACAGCCAGTCGGTGTGTCTGACGAACTGCCGTATTGAAATCTTGGGCAAGAGTACGACTCCAAGCTTTGAGATCACGGAGGTGAATCCACCGTCAGGACTGCTGAGCAGTATGTTGCGTGTAGGAGTTTCTCGCACGCTCACGTTCCAGTGTCCGAGTCAGAGCGACCTCATCGACTGGGTGGTCGCCGCCAAGCAATTTATCTCGGCCGGCTCGTCCATGGTGAATAGGTAGATGGATAAATGGACGTCACGAACAGCAAAACTGTGCTAATACAGCTTAAGAGAAAATTAAACTGCTTACTTCAATCTTCAATTTATTTTTTTAATACCTTACTTAAGTAATTTATTTTTTTAATACCTTACTTAAGTAATCAGGATAACATCCAAGAAGGGTTTATGTAATGTACACCCATATGTGTACGTCACACTAGTCTCAGGTATTTTACTGGCAGCCGCACATCAACCGAAGCATCAAGGAGCTACAATATGGGCCTGCTGGACGGACTGATCACGGGCTTCGCGCGTAAGAGCAAGTTCGGGCGCTCGCACTCGCTACGTCCGCTGACGAGCAAGCGTGCCAACCGCCGCTTCTACAAGGGTAACGGTTGCCGCAACGAGGGTAAGCACGCCAAGCGCGGCCGCTACGTGGTGGACCAGGACAAGCTGCTGCAGCTCGAAGTGCCCGACCTCACGGACTTTAAGGTACGTTTTATCGTGTCTATCTATTCCTTAAAGTAATTCTAACATTCTCTGTGCAGCTCAAGGCCTACGTGTCACCGCTGACGCCCAACCGTCCCCCGCAGTAGAGTGACAGACACATAGGCTTCATTTTTTCTTCATAAGGCAATGACACGGAGGGTTTTAGATGAAAAACTGGACGCTGCTGTTATCTAGAAGAATGAATCGCGTTGCTACGGTGTGTGGGCGTTTGAAGCCTTAGGAGATGGTGCAGCCACAAGTCTGGCCCTTGCGGAGCTGCTGGCATTCCTCACTCAGCAGGTTGAGCTCCATCTCCTGACGTTCTTTCTCCTGCACCACACGTTCGTACTCAGACTTCATGCGTGCAAGTTCACTATCGACTTCTTCGCGCTTCTTGGCTTCGCTCGAGAGCTTGAGACCGGCAGATTCACGCTCGATCTCCACATGTTGCTTGGTGGCAGCCTCGTCCTGCAACATACTCTCCAAGTTGGCGATACGTTCACGCTGCGCTTCAGCTTCCGCCTCGAAACGCGCCTTCTCCGACATGATCTGAGACGACTGCGCCTGCATCTGCTCGATCTGCTCCTTGTAGATCTGTTCACGGCCTCCGACGCTGCCTAGTTCCTCCTTCACCTTCGACACGTCGCCCTGTAAAGTCCGGATCTTCTTCTCGTATCCTTCTTCCTGTCGGCTCAATAGAATCCGCATAGCTTCAGCGTATTTAGCCTCTGAAAACGTCAACAGACACTCGAGTTTGGCGCCACCGCGAGCCTTCTTCATGTAGGCGTCACGGAACGCCAGCCACTCACGCGAGAACTGCTGCATGTCGGCGAATCCACCGGATTCGTCGCTAGCAGAGGCCAATTTGGGCTGGATCTGCTCAGCATACAACACCTGCAACAACCGATCGCACATTTCCTTGCTCTGCGCTGCGTTATTACGTGCACACGCAGCTTTATCGTCTTCCATGCGTTTACGCAGGTCAGCTTCGAGCTTGGCTGCACTGTCACCGATAGCAGCGGCACGGTACTGCGTGATCGCTTGTTCCTCGGCGTCTTTAATAGCTTCAACGAGATCTTCATCGTCCAGTGGCAAGTCCAAAGCAGCCAGACTCTTCTTGAATGTTTCAGCTGCAGTACTCATCGCCTTACGACACTCACTGGCTGTCACTCCTTCCCATGCAGAGGTGATAACGGGGACACCGCCACTGTTAATAGCAGCCACGTAGGCTTGCAGTAAACCAGCGAACATACTGCCATTGAGTGGCTTGCCCTGCAACATCTTGGGCTGTAGACTCTCCCCGTACACGATCTGTTTGACGTGACTGAGTTGCTCTTGGAACTCCGGACGGAGCTCTTCAATGGCCATTGCGTCTACCTGTTGTAATTTGGCTTCATCGTGTACTGGGCGCACCAGAGTGACGCAGTCTCGGTCACGGAAGAAGTCCTTCATCATAGCACGGATACGGTTACGCTCCATATTGGCAGGGGTACGTGGCTGATCAGCTAGTGCTCGTTCGAGATAGTCACTGCTGGAGATTGGGTCTCCATCTTCGTCTACGAGCTCCAAAGTGAAGTCTCGCACGACCCAGAGGAAGGACGGGAAGAAACTGTGGAACTGCATCACATCTTCGTCTTCTCCTTCGTTGGCTGAAGCGCTGACTTTAATGTGTTTGGCCAGATTGGCAATGAAACTGAGTCCACTGATGGCTTTTTCGTCCACACTGCCTTGGCTGTTGTAGATGAGCTTGGAGCAGAGGAGAGTGGCTAGTGAGAAGATGCGTGCGTCATACTGCTGCGACGCCTCGAGACCGCCCATTCCCTCCGTGTCCAGCATGAGCACCCACACGTGCTCTCCATTGGCCATCGTGTGGCGTTGCGGCTGGCCCCAGAGCCAGATACCGCGCGTGCAGCGCTCGATAGTGGGGCCTACGCGGAAGCCGCTCTGCCTGTCCAGCAGCCAGTTGAGCATGGAGCTCTTGCCCGTGCGGTAGAGACCCGCCATGGCCACCACAGCCACGTGACCATCGATACGACGCAGCAGCTCCACAGCCTCATCGTTCACCTTGAGCTGGTCCTCGTCCTCGCTGAACGTGATGAGCGGCACAGGCTCCTCCGGGAATTCCGACATGGCTACACTCTGGTAGGTGAACTTTTGAGAATGACGTGCCGTATCAGGTGAATTAAACACCTGTGTTTTGATTGGCTGATGTGAGATATTGTGTGGTGTACAGAATATATGTGATGCACACCATCGATACATTTTTTCGAGCCAAGCACAGCCACAGCTACGCATCCGGTCAAGATGCTCTTGTTGCGGCGCATGGGGGCACGCTGTGGCTCTCGTGGGGGCTTTATCAGCTCGACAGTAACTCCACAAGCATCTCGATCTTCAGGATCCTGCTTGTTGTCGTTTTACAATCAGAATACTCAGCGTAAAACCTTCACGACGTCGCTGGACAAGCTGGACCTCCCACCGCTACCGACTGCCGACGAGGTGGACGCTACTATTGCAGCTGCTGAAGCGAAAGCCCAGAGTCAACAGATGGCCAAAAGGGTCCAACACATGCCTATCCGAGCTGTCCACATTGCGCGAAAGATGGACATTGCTAGCCTCTTCCAGAAGCTCTACACAGACCGATTCAAGGTCACCCACTACTTGCACAAGGACTCCATCGTGTTGCGACTCAGTGGCAGTAAGAACAACGGCCATGCAGGACTTGTCACGGGTGTAGCACCACCCACAGTGCAAAGCTCTAGCAGTAATAACAATGGCGACACTGTCCAAACGCTTAGTGTCGGACAGGGAGGCAAGACTGTCACCTCACGACGAGCGACGGATAAATGGGTCGTGTACTTTGACTACGGAGCAGTGGTGTTCTTTAACTGTGACCAAACACTAGTGAACACGCTCATTAAACACGCTACACGCTTCTGTAGCGACGTATTTGAGATGCGAGGACACGAGGAAGAGATGCTGCTGGTCGGCGATCCTGCGCAACAGAAGTGGAGTACACTTGTGGAGAACAACGTATTGGTACGAGAGATTGACCATATTAACGTCCACGTGATTGCCGGCGTGCTTTCACAGACGGTAGCGTTAGAATTCTATGAACGTCAGTGTGAGACCATTTTGAGAGAGTTTGAGAAGCTGAACACGGATGTGGAGAAGAAAGGACCCCGTGGAGCCTTATTTGGTCGCGAAAATGAGCAGACAAAGCGGTTGTTCAAGATCGTGGCGTCCAACAACACACTACTCATCGACTTGGTGAGTAAACTGCGTGTTATCGACCGGAAGAGACCTGGCGATCCGGCTTGGAGCCAAACAAGATACCACAACATGTGGGAGTCGCTGCTGGAAGAATTTGAGCTCAACGAGCGCTTCCAGAACCTCAATTTCAAGCTGGAATTGATCCAGCACAACACCAAGGTGGGTTCTAGAGTTGTTTTGTGAAGATATTGAGAATGCTGACATTTGTGTGCATTTAGTTCTTCTTGGAGGTACTGGACTCCCACAAAGGTGAGCGACTCGAGTGGTACATTATCATTCTCATTTCCGTGGAACTGGGTATTGGTGTCTACGAACTACTCATGAAGCTAGCTTAGATAACCCGGCTAGAGAGAGGAGGCAATCTTTTAAGACTCAGAGAAACGCTTGTTCCATTAGACAACACGCAGTCTGTCCAGTGTGCGTTGTGTTGCTCTATCTCTTGGCCCATTGTGCGTGTTCGTGGGGAGCCTTACGGTCCGTGAACTGTGACGCCGGTTGACGTCCTCCACTGTTCACATGCTGCCAATAATTGTTGAAGGACACAAAGTCCTCAGGGCCCAAATCTACCGTCTTGGTGCGTAGCATGGCAGCCAACAGTGAGCGCAGCTTCTCCACTTGATCAGTCGACAGCGTCTTTGAGTTTTCCTGCTTCTTACTGCTCTTGCTACTCGGTAACTTGGTCGGCGTTAGGTCGTCTAGATTCAGGTCTTTGGCGCTCAGCACCGCCACACGCATGGTGTGGTACAGATGGAAGGCAGTCCAGAATAGATGTGCCCAGGCACCGCCAGCACTTTGGCTCGGACTGAAGCGCTTGAACTCGTAGCGGAAGCCCACAAGGTGCACGCGAGTCTTGATCGGAAGGTTTTGTAGCACGGGGATGAATCTAAGCACAGCCTTGCCGTTGCTCCTAGCTCCTTCGGGGAGCACCACTACTGGCCCAGCGGCGCGACGTACGACATCTGTGATCTTCCTTGTGGGTTTGACACGCTCAGCACTCACGGGCATCGCCAGTGACCTGTACAGTGCCTCCAGTAGGCCACAGACGTGCACCAGTCCACCGTCATTACTCTTCGACTCTGTGGCGAATACAAAGACTGGTGAGAAGCGCTTGGCCAGGTACAAGATCTCCAGAAAGCTCGTGTAGTTGCAGACCAGCACGTCGCCGGATCCAACGCGGGTCGAGCCGTTGGAGCTCCTGGATTTGGCCGTAGCGAGACCCAGACGACGCGTGTTGGCGCTCTCTTCCGACGTGAATACACCGAAGAGAAGGAGGATTAGTGAGCACAGCAGCCACTGCGTGATCCGCTTTAGCAGACGTCCTAGAAACGGGATCACGGCGAGAATGGACACCACGATGTTGACGAGAAACAGCGCCACGAACGATACCAGCACCAACGGGAAGCGTACGAGCGCCAGAGTAGAGCCTGCTACAACCTGCAGGATGGTCACGGGCCAGCCGGACGTGAAGCGCCGACGCTGGGGCACGAACGGGTTGATGCCCGTCGTCAGGTCCGACCACCGGCTGTACTTCTCCATTTGATTAGTGACGTGGCTGAGCTACGTTTTACACGGAAGATACATTAACTAGGTATAATCATTAAGGTTCACTTCATTTTTAGTACACAAAATCAACTACCATATTTGTCAAAAGGTACTTTCTTAAATATTTGAAATACCCACATAGTAGTATATTTTACTACCTCCGTTCGGAAAATATCGCACGATCTAAAAAAAAAAGTGGCAGCGCTCCGCCTCGTTTTTTTTGGGATTATAAACTGCTCAGAGGTGGCGGCGACTTCGACAAGATCTCGAGAATAAAAACACTAAAAGATCGTAGTACGCTGCAGGCGTGCATGCTCCGCCGCATTAAAAGTATAGAAATGGGTCAAAATGTGTTAGACTTTGCACAGGATAGGAGCTAGTGATTGTAAAGTTAACCAAGAAGAACAGAGTGGTTCCCACGTAGAGTATTTGGGATTAAGGAGGGAAACCTCGAAGGTGACAACCCCCCTTTGCAGTTAGTCCAACGTTTCCTAGTTCCTTTGAAGTCTTTGTCTTACTGCTACGCGACACGAGATCTTGAACTTCAAACTACAAAGCTGGGAGCTGGCTGAGCTTGCAGAGCTCGACTTCAACTGTAGCCATCTCCACACTCCCACTTCGAGTATGCCAAGCTCTTGGTCTTCATATTTCTCGAACTAATCGCTAGCCTCTCCATCCTCGATGGCAATCGGCACGGGCATAACATTCAGCTCTTGCCGAAACTTCTGAAAGAGTTGCGGACCTAGTGGCTTTGTAAATATGTCGGCTTTCATTTCTCCAGTTGGACAGTAGCACACTTCAATCACTCCTTGCTCGTGATAATCTCGCACCTTGTGACACTTTAAGTCTACGCTTTTAGTCTTGTAGTTGCCTTTGATTCCAGTTATCACAGTGATCGTAGATTGATTGTCTTGAAACAAAACAGTCGGCATACAAAACTTGAGCTTCAGTTCTTTGCAAATATTGTGAGTCCAAATAATCATAGTTGAACATTCACTCGCAGCGACGAATTCCGCACAGCAAGTATCATCAGTCACAATCTTCTGTCTTCTCGATTTGTATGCGTAAGTACATCCATTTAGTTGTAGCACATATCCAGTAACTGAATATCGACCATCTTTCTCATTTCCGAGGTCTGCATCTGCATATGCTACAAACTTCAACTCCGTAGTTTTAGGTTTGTGCCACGCAATTCCAAAATCCATCGTTCCACGTAGATATCGCAATACACGTTTTGCCATGATCCAGTTTTCCTCTGTATAGCAATTCAGGTATTTCCCCAACGTTCGCACCGCGTTCGCGAGTTCTGGACGCGAGCATTGAACAAGGTATTGTAAACACCCAACTAGTTCACGGCAGGGAAATCTTGGATTGTTCACACTTGCATCGTCTACTGACGATGGTGTTGGCACACTTCCTAAAGTTTGCGGAGTCGCAACAGCACGAGACTGGTCCTGTGGTGTTGTAATTCCCACGGCAACTCTAGCTACTAGTGTAGGTAGGATAAACCCACAACAATACGTCTACCAGAACGGTAAACGATCGTTGGGCGTGATCTGAAGACCCAGACTCAGCCCTTACACCGGGACAGACTGGACCTGCAAATCGCTTATATAGGCCAACCAGTAAAAGTAAGAACACGCTACTAGCACGAGCAAAGCTAGTAGGTGTTATGAATCCTCGTGGTCCCAACAGCGGAAGGGTACCAGGCACGGGTAAGCCTTTTACGAGGGCGCCGAGTGTTCAACACTCGACTGGAAGAATATATGGGAGGCAACTTGCTCTCCCCAACACGTGCAAATAGGCACAATAAAGCCGTCACGTAAACTTCCGATATATAATCGGCCAATACACACACACTTGGCCTTGCCGGATGAACCCTCGCTAGTAAGCTTCGAGTCCACCGACAGGCATAACACACCCAAACAAGCTTATCCAGACGCTTACCTTGAAGCCGGACCTCGCTCGTGTGCTTGAGTGGAAATTCTGTTCTGTTATTCGTTATGCCCTTTCGGGCTCTTCCTAATATGCAATCCTAATCATGTATACAAATATCAAGTGAACTATGATCCGTTATGGATCGCTACACGTGCCAACAGTTACCTCAACTGTCCTTGTGCCTTCTCATGTCTCCGTCGAGCGTTCAACTGCTAGTCGCACCCACCGAAGAGTCGCTCGAACCGTCACCGAGTCGTAGTACCGTAGTCCGTCGGTTCTTGACCGCTGAATGTGAATCCAGCTTCACCGATACGAACCACCCGACTTGAGTGACATCTTGGTCATAGTCGGGCCCGACGAACGTTCGGTAGCGATGCATCCTTGTCCGTCTTGCGCCGTGGTCACCACCTGTCGCATGACCGAGAGTTCGTAGCTTGAGCAACTTGAATGTAGCCACTTCAGCGATTACTTGGAAATCACTACACCACAACTGCCCCTGTCGCAATGGAAGCCACGCCACTGGTGCCCGTTGTGACATCATCCAGTTCCAAATCCTTCCCACCGTGCGACTATGTCTCGTCGGGAACCCCGTTCGCGCGGCGCTCTCAACCACGCTCTGCACCGTGCGTTTGACGCACTTCTTCCACACCGACATCGTGACCCTGCACGCGTGGAGGTAAGTCTCACCATCCTGGCTTCCAATCATCGTCCAGCTGCTCATCACCTCTCTCTCTTCGTCAGGAGTCTCGTCCGGTCGACACCGTTCGTTCGTCTGGTCAGCCTTCTTCTGCAACGAGCCTTCAGCCACCGTCTGGAACTTCTCTTCCCATGAGTCACGTGCCACTGCCACCGCCGGCAGCGTCGACTGCTGCGGGACCTTCCGCCACGCTTCAGGCTGAGACTCAATCTTCGGCCTTAGTTCCCGTTGCTCCTCCAGCACCTGCCGAGTCTTCGGAGATGTTGACCGTGGATTCGCTGCGCGATCTTCTTGCTGAGTCTGCTGACGCAACGGTAGATTCCGTGAGAACTGCCCTCCTGCCATTTCTGACGTTGATGGCACGACATCAAGTCCAGCTCTGCATCTCGCCTCCGCTTCAGGGAGACGTCCGCACCCAACGTCGCTTGAATGACGCGCTCGGCTTCGACCAAGTGCTAGCGGCGGTTCAACCTCTCTCCGACACGCTGCCGGACCTTCCTCGCGCTGTCGGTGAACTTACTGCTCAACTGAAGATCTCTCGGGAGGAAGCTGCCGCTGCCAAGCGTTTGCTGGTTCCTGTCCAGCTCCGAGTTGAGTCTCTGGAGACTCTTCTCAAC